GAGGAGGAAAGACGCAGGCGAAGGCGTCGGGACAACAGCGGGCTGATAGAGGCGGAGAGCGGAGGAGGGTGGCGGGTCATTAGAAGTGGACGCTGAGAAATGGAAGGAGATGAAGTATGGGGGCAAGACAACTGAGGGCAATCTGACGAACGGCGGAGGTCTGAAACGGTCAAAAGAAGCAGAGATAGGGTAAGGGGAATGGAACGAGTAGACAAAGAGTCAACAAAAGAGGAGACGCTGAGAAGATTGAGGGAATAGACGGGGGAAATGAGCAATGTTGGGCGGGCGGGCGTTTGTGTGTGTGTTTGTGTGAAGGGGGAGCCAGGTTGGTGTAGACGTGAGGGGGTGGGGCAGCCTTCCGTGGGTGTGTGGTGGGCCAGCCTTTTGTAGGGGATGGGGCGAGGCGTAGCGGGATTGGCAAGGTGTGTGCGAGTGTGAAGGGGTGAGGCGAGCAGGGCTTGTGTGAGTGCGGAACAGAGCAGGCAGGGGCTGTGTGGGGGCGTGCGGGCGGACAGAAGCGGACGGGTGGAAGGAGAGAGAGTTACGGAGGGAGCGGCAGAGCGCGGGAGGCGGCGGGCAGTCAGCGCGCTCTCGCCCCCGCGCTCGACACGTTGCGCCGCCGCCGCCGCCGCCCCGACAGGCGAGCGCCGATCGATGGATCGCACACACGAGCACATGGCGGCGGCGGCGGCGGCGGCGGCGGCGGCGGCGGCCTGCCCTGCTCCCGCGCGGCGCTCTGGAGCGCGAAGGGGCGGTCGAGAGGAAAATACGCTGCGCCGCGCAACGACAGGGCAAGGCTACGCACGGCAGGCGCCCAATAAACCCGGCCTGGGCCACGTAAATCACGGACTTATCAACTCGGCTTAGCCCCACCGCCATTTGCACGTTCCAAGCCGAACCGAATAGACACAAAGAGAAACATTATTCACCCACTTTCTAACCAAAGCGGACGACACATTTGCAGTAACATTCCTGTTATTGTGGATTTTGCCTTGTCAATTTTCTTAGACGTAGTAGTGTGGTAGTTTCATTCACTATATACACTTCACTTCGATTTCATCTAAGAAGAAAAAAAAAGACTTGTCTTCGCGCTCATTTTTCGTATCACAGAGCAAAATCACGCGAAACGTGCCGGGCGATTCTCGCTCTTCTTACGCGTGAATTGCTGCACACTCTCCTAACAACATACCATAACGCCCGTGTACAGGTCAATGAACGTCGGGAGGCCAGGAAAGCGGAAAACGTTTAAAATGCATCGCGTGCGCTCTTCACCCCCATAGAGATACTACATTTGTAATACCGCCGGCGCAATGAAATGACGCGCGGGGCGAAAATCGAAGGGATTCCTCGCGCATTCCACAGCAAACGCACTCGTCAGCCAGCGGCGCTCGAAAATTACCAATCCGCCGTTCAAGCCGATGCCAAAGAGCGCCGACCGATCGACAGCTAATGTCCTCTTCGCTCACTTTCAGAAAACCTACCTACCTACCTACCTACCTACCTACCTACCTACCTACCTACCTACTTACCTACCAACTACAGCAGAAAATAAGTGGGTCCGCCGGGCACGAATATTCTCAGTGCCCGAGGTGCAAATGCAGAAAAACCTCGCTAATCCGTACCCCGCAAATCCAAAATTTAGGATAATCCGAAGAAAATTCGGGATGAAGTAATAATATACAAAACTAAAAAAGTTTATTTGTAGTGTAAAGAAAGGATTTTATAATTATATAGAACGGAACAACTAATTATTGAAATACAAATTGTCGAAATGAAACGTTTATTGCACTGGTAACTACGGTGTGCATCATATTTTTATGCAGCAGCAAAATCGGTAATAATCTTTTGCCGAAGGGAACTGAATCTGCTTGATGATGCGATCGTTACGCTACGTTGCCATTTTCTCACATCGTGAGCTACGTTGCATTGCCTGGTATTCCTTTACGAGTAGATACATTTGTATATGTGCAGTACATTTTGTCTGATAATCCGAACAGACCACAACCCCAATTTGTTCGGATTACCGGGGTTCTACTGGAGGAGTAATTACAGGACATCGGTATCGTTTCGTGGAAGTGTTGTTTACGAATGGTAAGTAAATAAAAGTGTTTGGTAGGTATCAATACACGGGCTACAAATAAGTCAGAAATGTTACACGTAAGATCTGCATTCGCCAGCCTGGATATTCCAGATCGCTAAGGCTGAAGGGCCGTGGGTGCGTGTCCCGCCTGGGGCCTGGATGTTGTCCGTAGGGTCCGGGAGTGTTCGTGTTGTCCGTACGTGTTGTTCCTACAGTTCCCCAACAGTTAAAGCAATCATAGTGGTCGATATATGAATAAGTTGTTAACAACCGAAAAATAATTCAAAAAAGAAAATTCATTCACGGAATATAATTCAAACAGCGCAAACTGTTTACTTCCTTATATACAGAGGGATTATCCAAGCTACGCAGCATCGATGAGGAGCGTAAATAAACAAGATCCAAATAAAAAATGAATAAACAGGAAATATGAAGATGATAGAGCAATAATCGTTCAATGCTGCAGGGAACAAATTAATCTTACCCTGCAGTAAATGTATTTATTCATTAATTTCGCATAGCTCCACGCATTGTAGAAGTAGTGCGACATATCGAAAGCGATAGAAAAAGATCGCCCTTATCGCACAGTCACGGTTACATAACTGATGTATTCTCAATTCTAGAAAGCAGAGAGAGAAGGGAACGCCTAGCACGTAGGCTAACCCGCAACACACTACTGCCAAAACCCCTTTACAACTTAAAAGCAGAAATACAATGATGTTGGATTTCCGGAAGCAAAAAGAGAGCATCTAGCGCGCTAGCTGCTATGTAACCGTAGGGCCAAGAATCAGAAATGATTCCACAAGGAGGTTTCATGCAGAAATTTCTCGAAACTTGTTTTAATACAAATCTAACTTATTTATACTTACTCGCGTACACAAACTAGCCTACATCTTTCTTTCACTACTTTCGACTCGTAGCAACTCAACAACGATTCCATTCCCATTCTACAGCTTTTTACTTGTAAAGGCCTTGCATCGTAGCCTCCACATCTTGACAGCCAAAAAAGGAAATGCGGACAGCAATATTAACGTTCCAGGACCTTGGCCTCTCTCAGACAGTGAGGCAAATCTATCATAACTGCCCAACAATTCAAATAAACACAAAAACGAAAACAAGCAGTAGCGTCGATATTCAGAAATCGCCCGGAGCAGTGGTTCAAGCGCTTACTGACGGCACGTGTCCACGCCGAATCGCCCCAAGAGCGGCGGACGTATCGCGGCGCGCGCCGTAATCCCGGCCTAAGCACCACGCGCGCCCGCTATCGGCGCTCATTCGTTCCCGCTTTTTCCCGCCATGCATCACTCCTCTGAATACGTCGAGAGGGGCTCCTATCGCCGGTCCGGCGCGCTCGTCATTTTTCAAGCCGGCCACGCGGCGGGGGAGGCCGGCGGGGAAAGAGGCCGAAAGAGAAGAAGAGCGGCGCGGACCGAAGGGAATGGACCAGGGGAAGGGGTGAAGGGAGGGCGGAATAGCTGCGACGCGGGCAGCGGCTGAGGGCGTCGCGGTGGGAAGGCGGGGAGAAGGGCGGGATGGCGGAACGTGTGGCGATGCGGCAGGAGAGGTGGCGGCGGCGGGGCAGCAGGAATGGTTGAGGGGCAGGCGGAGAGATGGGAGGCTGGGGGGCAGCAGGGGCGCGGGGATGGAGGGTGGGGGCCGGGGGAAGGAAGGGGTCGGCCGACGAAGGTACATAGATGGCGATGTCAATTGTAAAAGGGAGGGAATGAAAGGGAGGTGCAGAGGACGGGGATGGCGGGCGGGAAGGGGGATGTGGGCAAAGGACAGCGGCGGTTTGCTGAAAGGGTAAGGGGGGCAGAGGCAGCGGGAGAGGCCGAGGGGGGGCAAGCCAGCGCGGGATGGAGGGTGGCGGGGGAGGAGGGTCGGCGAAGAGGTACATAGTGGCCGATGTACGGAGGGAGGAGCATGAAAGGGAGAGTTTGGAAAAAAGGGAGGGGTGGCGGGCGGGGGCCCGGCGATGTGGCAGGAAGGCGGCGGCTGCAGGAAAGGAAAGGGGGCAGCGGCAGCGGTGACGGCCGAGGGGGGCAGCCGAGCGCGGGGTTGGTGGCAGGGGAGGAGGGTCGGTGACGAGGGTACACAGTGGCGATGTCAACGGAGGGAGGAGCAATGAAAGGGAGAGTGCAAGAGGGACGGGGATGGCGGCGGGGGCGGGCGGCCAGCACTCGACGCGCCAGTGACGTAGGCGCCCATTCGACACACGCCCCGCGGACCGGTCCTTTTCAATAACCGGCCCATTAAGCATTTTACACACTTGAAACACTTAAGGCCGGGCCCGGCGGCGCAATGCTGCTAGAGCGACGCCACTTCACGGCGCGGAAGGAGAATCGGTTTCTCCGATGGAAACATTTTAATGTACTAGTGCTTCTCGTACATTTTAAGGCATAGCGAACTACGCTGTGTAAACTATCGACACAGTACTACAATGTGTTACTCAAAGAAGGTCTCATAAAGAGGCTATATTTTATGAGTATTCAAGTCACTGAGAAACGTGATTAAAACATACATTCAAGCTTACGGAATAAAAGAAAGGGTGGGATGGAGAAATATACTTGATGCGAACTTTGTCTCTTTGAGGTATGCCTAATGTCTATCTGCGTGACCTACGAATCATTGGTAAAAGGCGCTCACTCCGTGGTTAATCTTGAGAACGGGCAATAAAAATCCATGGAATATGAAGATTGGAATATTGAATGACCAATTTTCATTAACAGTACAAAAATATGTGAAATCAACATTTACTCAAAATTCATTAGCTTTTTATTTGAGTTCTGCAAACATTTATATTCATTGAACCATTTGTGGAATATTGCTTGCAATGGAATATTTTGAAGCAAAGTTTATTCATGGGAATACAATTCAAAGTTCAAAACCCTGGTACTGTCCACAAAATGCCAGTATTTACATTCTATTAATGTAATTACCTGCACTTTCAAACCAAATATTTCAATTATAGAGGAAAACGTAAGGATATAATTGCCACTAATTTATAATTACATGTTGACTATTTCAAATAGTGAATACCTGCGCACCTTTAATACCAACACGTTAGTCGAAATGTCCGGAAATATTGTCAATTTAGAGGCGCATTAAAGAAAAAACTAATTTTGATATGAGCAGGTAGCAAACACCGACACAGCATGTTTCAACAAAAACTCGTACTTCCGAGCCTTGGTAACGAGAAATGAATAAATATTGTTCCTAGTTGTAGTAAATTACTTCATCCAACACGTTTTGCACTCAGAATTCATGTTTTTTGGGTTCTTAAAACCGGAAAATCGATGGATGGCAAAATCCCTGTTTGTAGTCGACGCTAATGCCTAAACCTTTCACCTATTTTCTCTAAAATAGATATTGCCCTGTTGTTCTGAAGGAACTGTAAGACCTGCGGCTTGCATGGATATTTTGATTTTAGGAGAGTACTATACGTTATGTCTCGACATTTTAAACATTTTCAAAAATGACTCCAACTTTTTGGATTAAACTTTGTCTTTGAATAGTGCAAAGAACGCATAAAAATGGAAACGGTGTCATTTTCTTTGAAATTTCTCATTGTTCGAATATTGCAAAAGTTTAAAATTTTTAGGCGCTTATACAACTACAATTTTGGAGATAGATTTTTTCTTTAACTAAATCGGTTGTTTAAAGACAAATCGTGAATATATATTTGTACATTTCTTTGATAATATGAGTAGTATTCGGGCAATATTTAACAGGCAATGATTAAATAATTTTCACAAAAATGCTTCCAATTTTTTTCTTTAAATTTTCATATTTGTATGTACAAGAGGACCGTAAAAAAATTGGTGATGGTCCCATTTTCGGCGAACACTACTTTCGAAAGTTGCAAAAAAATTAATATCGTGAAAGTACAAAGTTGAAGACTGACTTTTCTCTTAAATGATACACGGATATTTTAAAAATCAGATTTAAAAAGGTTAAGTACCATTTCTAGCAGCTTTCTCCTACTTTCTGCTTCAAGTTAATGCAATTATAAACATTTGCTCAAAAATTGTCTCCAAACTCCGTTAACTCTTTAAACGTTTTTCACAGATAGAACAATGTATGCTTAAAAATGGCGCAGATTTTTATTTTCATTGAACACTGAATTTTCGAAAATTGCAAAAGCTGTTTCGAAATTTTGCAGCTCAAGGAGATGTGCAAAAATTTGTCAGCTATAACATAGTTTGCCTGTAAAATAAATATAGCTGTGGAAACCATATACTTCTACTCCCATATTTTTTAAAAAAAAAAAAAAAAAAAAAAACACAGACACTGACCTTTTGCACCATTTACGTTTTAGCACTTGCTGTATTTCTCACACCGCCACCTAACACGGGCCCCTGTGAATATTCATGATAATTATCAAATTTCAGCTTTCAAAAATGTACTCAAATGTAAGGAATGCGCCACTACATAGTTTTAATCGAGCAGTGTCAACGCCAGAACTTTCTTATGGGAGTTGTTCGACAAATTAGAATTTGACAGCAGAACATTTAACACAGCACTCACCAAGACTTTCGAACGTAAAGGCATTTTGGCATACTCCGTTACGAACTGATGACACATTTTCACCTCTAGAAGAAAGGAAATATATTGATATAGTTTATCTAGTTCTTTTTAGACAAAAATTGGAACGTTTACATTTAACAAACGACAACCAACAACTCAGGGCGTAACACAAAGAGAAACTGGGTGCTTTGATTTCGGGGAGTGCCTTTGCTCTCCCCTAGCAACGCGCTTCCACTTGCAGGACGCGATTCGCCACGTGCAACGCACGCCCTGCCTCTGGAGAGGCGACTTCCTCCCGCGCCGCCCTCCAATGGCGAGTGCAAGCGCACTCGTTGGGCGACGCGGCCTGCGTTGCGCGGCCTGCGTTGCGCGGCCTGCGTTGCGCTTCCAGCGCCGAACTGCGCCTGCGGTACGGCGGTTGGGACGCGCATTTTGCAACGGTGGAGTAGTCCGGTTGAACCTATTCGAACATTTCCCGCATTGTAAAAATGAAAATAGTCTACTGAAACCAAAATTCGAACTGCTAAGCTCTGAACTCTGCGGAGTCCATTACGTCATGTGCTAGCCACTACCCCACGAGACCCTATTTGTTGTACATCTGCTGAATTAGCTCAGAGTCAGCTATATCATTGCTTTTGCAGGGACTCTAGACCGCGAGTTCCGACGGTGGCAAAATTTTGACACAGCTACTTAGGTCGAATTTAGCCGCTGTCTGGAGGTGAATCCTAGCGAGTGCCTCCTCTGATGGGTAGTTTCTCTTCATCTTCCTTGTCCTATCCCCTCTCTCTTCCTCTCTCTCTCTCTCTCTCTCTCTCACACACACACACACACACACACAGACACGCGTACTCACGCACAGACACGCGTACTCACGCACAGACACACGTACTCACGCACAGACACACGTACTCACGCACAGACACACGTACCTGCAACACACTACCACACATGTCGAGAGCGTAGAGCATGTTCTGGCTGGAGCGGTGCTCTTTCGGGGGATTTTCCTCGATTGAGAAATCTCCTGCGTGCTGACGTGTAAGTAGAAGCAGGTTCTCACCAGCCATCAGGGGAAGAAATATATTTCGCAAAGGAATATATTTCGTTCTCGAAAAAAAATCACTGAATTATAGGGACTAATGGCCACAGCAGTTGACGTGCCTGTGTACAAATAAATAAACCAACTCTTTGTTATACGAACAATTCTACTCTTATCAAATTATTTCAATAACCGTCATGTCATTTATCATATCTGTTGCGTCCGTTCGTATCAAGCATTTTTCTCTTGCATCATTACGAGCCACTGCAAGTCAAAACAGTGTCACTAGGGACATTGCCTAGGGCAGACGTTTCCATCGGAGCCATGCGCATTACTTAGAGTGCAATTCTGGGAAGAAGAGGTTCGTAAAGACAGGGGCGGAACTAGAGACAAATTTTGGGAGGGGAAATTAAAATGAAATATTTTGGTCGAATGTTTCATATTACAGATTTTGGAAAATTTTCATAGGCTCATGCTGTGATACGATTTTATTTGTTTTAATGATTATCCGAAAATATGTTTGCTTCAAAGTTTCGTGACAAGTTTAAGTTAATAGCTACTGAAAAATAATTTTAGGGATGGAAATTTCCCTCGCCCCCCCCCCCGTGGATCCGCGTCAGGTAAAGGGGAGTGCCGTTACCGGCCGACCAACGTAAACTTACCTCTTCGTTTCGTATTAATAATTAACAGATCGTGAACGGGATCGAACTGAAGTTCCTAGACCACAAATACATTTTTTACCTTTTTCTGTCGGTGTCGTTCACAAGATTTTCTAGTTCTAAGTCTTTCAAGCTCATTTTAGGGAACGTTCAGTATACGCTCCTGAAATAGCAACAGGAGGGGCAGAATTGCAATTTCCTTGCGGGACAGCGGGACATCTTCAGATTAGAAAGAAGTGCGGGGAAGGGCCTAGGGGAAAAAGGTGCAAGTGCTCCTGGCGATACGCGGGGCATCTCCTAGGATACGACGTCCCGAATCCAGCTCGTTGCGCAAGTCCACTCTAAGATCCCCATCGGGTAAGCATACTCACAGTCCCCATCGAGTAAACATGGTCGTATTCTCAGGCTGAAATAAGAATACGACAGAACGAAATATACCAAACTTGATTCACCAAAGGTCGCATGACGACCGTGAATATTAGCTAAAACGCTTCAGATTGGTTCTGGAATGCGTACCTACTCACTATTGGGCAAGTCCATCCTCAACTTGAATGGAAGTACTGCTCAAATGACTCCCAACCTAACTGGGGGGCTCCATCTATTACCCCGCGGCAGCTTGGGCTCCCATCAATCTCCTCCCTGCACCCGCCTCTGAACTATCGACGTATCGCCGGGAAGCTGGGCAACTGAGCGGGAGTTTCCAATACCTTGCCAGGGCTTGTCCAGGGCAATTTAAAATTGCCTTGGAACCTCAAAAAACACGTTCTTGCGTTGCGATGAGGCAAGTCGCGTGTGATACTTCGTTCTCGCGAAATCGTAAGGGCATAGCCGCCAGCGGCGGAAAAGTGTACTCTCCATGGTCACTAAACTTTCGATGCTCTGGACCAGAAAACACCAGCTCCACGCTACGGAGTAGAATTCTTTCCTTATGAAAGCGATGATCCTGAGGAAACTGAAAACGCCGCGCTTAGCGCGAGCTGTGCGGCACCGATGCATAATCCCGTATTATCGTCAGCTTCGCACCCGACGTGTCACTCGTGGTTCCTTATGCATACATTATCGTGCGGCAACAAAATGTTAACATGTTAATGTGCACAATGCATTATATTATAATACAGTGTTTCAAAAGCCCCAGACTCTCTGAATTTTCAGTATAATCTTTCTTCGTTAAAAAACCCACGGCGAATCCAAATTTCTTTCCCAAGTATTTACTTGGCTGCCCGGGTGACGCCGCGTCTGCGGCAAAGGTGCCGACGTTTCGGTCGCCATTTTGCGATTTTCCTCAGGGCGCCTCAGGGCTGACGAAGGTCGCAGAATGGCGACCGAAATGTCGGCACCTTCGCCATGGACGCGGCGTCACCCGGACAGCCAATTACATACTGACTCCGACCGCGGAAGCCTACGATCTCATTTCTTTCCCACGAAATGGCATCGCGAACAACTGAAATCTCACGACGCGGATCAGAGGGAAAAGTGAATCAGTCTGTTGACGAGAGACAAAGCACCAATCACATCTGCGACGCAACTTCCTGCGCGAACCAGGCGAAAATTAGTCAATACCCCGTCCCAATACCCCTTTACGGTATTGGCGTGCGTACCACTGACAGTTTGAGGTACCGTAGCCACTGCCACTCACATGGCAGCATCTACTCTGCAGATTGATAAAATCTCAAAAAATAACCTTATGGACAGGCAGTGATATGTTCTGCCTCAACCGAACCTTATCAACTAAATCCTTAGTTGAACCCTAATACGTCTGATGACAGTTATCTGCGAGTTTCTCGAACAACTTCCTTTGATTTATTCTTTATCCAACGAGAGAACACACATTTCTCCCTAACTTTAAGAACATGGGCAATTAAATTGTCCCCTAAAATTCATTTAATTGTCTGTAATAATCTGTAGAAAATCAGATGTAAACACTTCAAATAAGTACACATTTACATTACATGATATCGGTTACTTCAAACCAGAATGTAAAACTAATTTCCTTACAAGTGCTTCGATGACAATCGCTGATGTCAAGGCAACGTCCGTTTCTCTTGCGCATCCTGCACATTGCGATAGAAGGATATTATGCAACGTGTGGATAAATACGAGATCGCCCACAGCCTGAGGGGACAGCGAAGCGTTGACAGCCTCTAAGAGGCTCACTGGACGCGGATCACACACTTCAGTGGAGGGATACACTCCGGTTTGTTCAAATCCACTTCATTCTCTCGGAAGATAAAGAATAAATGACATCACTAAAGATTGGCTGTGGAAAAGTAAATAACTGTTCGCAAGTAGATTGCTTCACAGCAGGTAACGTGACAAAGCACAACCTGTGTGCAACTGTCAGAGACTTTTACGCGCAGCAGCTAATGTAGCCTTCGTATCGTGGCTACTCGTACGAGTGTATAGACCGATTAATTTGTTTAAGGAACTGACAGACGATACTGGAGAACACTATTGTCACGGGCATGCGCGGCAGGCACAATCCGAAGCCATAGCCTTCTTTTCATTTCAATTTACTGTATGTACTATTAAGAAACCGTGGTAGCTCAGTGGTATGGCACAGGATTTCTGACCTGGAAGGATCCAGGTTCGAATCCCGACGTAGGTTGGGATTCTTATCTGGGGATTTCCAGTCATGGCGGCATAGAGGTCGACTCAGCCACCGCTCTCAGTGAGTACCAGGATCTTTGCTAGGAGCAAAGGCGGCCAGAGCATTGTGCTCGCCATACATCGCCTTGTGTCGACGGCGGGGGTTGGAGCTCTATATTCACTTCTCCCTTGGGCCACATCGCCCTGTGTGTGTGGCGTCTTTGCCGGGGCAAGAAATCACAGACGTGAGCGGTTTGTAATTTATTGAGTATTTATTTGAAAAAAATGCTCCAACACCTGAATACTATGTACAATAATTACACTAAACAATATTGACCCGTTACGAGAAGGAATGTTCCTGGTTACCACTACCGCTGGCCTGATAATTAGATATCTTATTCGGTGTGATGCACCAGTAGCCTACGTGAGCATACATGCAAAATGCAGCGCCGCGCACTACCCACACGACTTCCTACCGACGCGCCCAAGAATCAGAAGAAGCAGTTTAGGTCCGGGGTCCGTTTATATTACCTTCTGGGCCGGCTGACGCGTCATCTCTGTTTCCGCCGACGCGTTTCCGCAGCTAGCTTGTCTACGGAGTTCCCATGTTTGCCGCAAGTGGTCTACGGGGTTCACAAGTGGCCACCCACGACACGGCACCCCTTCCCTTCCGCTCCCTAGGCTTGCCATTGTTCAGCCCGGCGTCCCTTCCCGCCAGCGCTGTCCATGAGCATGAAATACACGTGGCTGATTTTTGTCACGTTTGTACAAAGCGACTGATACAACGCCACATGTGTAATTCCACAGAAGCACCTTTTCCTTTTTACCTTCAAAAGTACTGATAAAGAATTATCGAGAACTTTCATTTTACGATTTTCGTTGAGTACTGTTATATAAATATTGCGTCAATATCCGGATTATGTTCTTCGTAATTTATATAAAGACAACGTTTCAAGATTAACAACAGGAGCAGCGGCAAACAAAACTCGAACCCTCGCAAAAGAAACGAACAAAACGCAATCCATCACCGACTGAAGCGTACATAACACCTCAAGAAGATACAATAACCAACAACAGGGGGGACTCACGATGTGAATTTCAATCATCACTGACCCACGCGGTAGAGCAGTCATACGTTATTCAACTGTTGTGCATACGTTATTCAACTGTTTAACAACTGTTGTGCATACGTTATTCAACTGTTTAACAACTGTTGTGACATCATAAAAAAATTGACGTTTCTGTCGGGAGCTGTAACACCTTAGACACAGTAATAGGGCTGAGTTAACCACCCCGCGACGGCTTTGGCGCTTGAAGCGGCGTTTCTTGGCGGCACGACACCCGCCCTGCGCGCGCGCAGCCAGCGGCCCCACTCACCTCACGTTCTCGTGCTTCTGGATGTAGATCTTGTGGAACTGGCCCTCCACCGGAGACACGATGTCCGCCTTCATCTCCATGGCTACGTGCTGCGGCAGGACGGACAGCAGCAGCCGCTCCTGCGAAGACATTCGTTACGAGCTCATTGCTGTCAAAGTATTACGGATTTCCTACGTGTACAGGATGCTTCACAATAAATGTTGAAAACATCTGGAACGAAGATGATCATCTTGTACCAATAAGCCAATTACCAATATCGAGAACTGGTGGTGGGTTCATATAACTAACATTCACACGTAACATTTGCCCCTGATATTTAGGCAACTTATCATGCACTAGTCTTAGGTCACGTTCTGAGCGTTGAAAGACATTCCGTTTACATGCTGAACATTGATGCATTAGCACTAACCTAACATGATGGGCAAACGTTATATGTGTAACTTCGATGTATGACCTTTACAACTAGTACAAGTTCATTGCCACCCATCTAAATTACTTAAAATTTTGTATTTAAAAAAATACTATGTCGTAACTGGGTAACCTGCGTGAGCCTACTATACAAATAAGGATAAAAAGAAATGGGTATGTTGTCTATTACGAATACTCGCTTGTAGTAATCAGGCAACTGCGTCTCCATATGTCCGTTCATCAGTTGCTCAGGGTTAGATCTCTTCCGATCCACTACTCGGGGCAAGAGAGGGGTTATTTAAAGCGTCTTAAACTACAGGTAGCGAGCTGACTTTTTTCAAAACCCAGAACACTTCGGAAAATTTGACATAAAATCTGAGAAGGGGATATTAAAACCTCTAAAACGTACTTTGTGGGTTTTAAGACGTCTACGGAGGTGATCAATAGCTCATTCGGTTCCTCTTCACAAGACGAATCGATTGCTACTATTTTTAGGAGGAAGCTTCAAGACTATTCTGAAAGAATTCTAGAAAAACGTTTTGTGGGTTTCAAACTACCTACAGCGGTAAAACAATGTAATTTTTCCTGCACAATATGAACGGATACAATTTTCTAGATGTGATTGATAACTGAAAATGATTTTGTTATGTAAAATAGGTTAACATTTTAAGAAAAGTGTCTCTATCGGGAAATTTTCTACGGCAGAAGTCCAATTAACCGGTCAAATTTAATGTTTACAATTTATTTTCATTTCAAACTTGCACAACACGAACAAACAAAAATTATTATGAAATTATCTTAAGGGACGCCATGATAAGCTAGTTAGAAATGATAGGAAATTAATATTACACAAAGGGAAACTCATATCATTTAATACATAATTATGTGAAGTTGTAAAATTGTACAAGAAAATTGAAATAAGGAAAAACACGTAGTGTTCTCAAACAAGAGAGAGAGACTCTCAGCATTCACAGAATAAATTAAGAGAAATTGGACCGAAAGGTCCAATCATCTTGGAAATACAGACGTCGTAATGCTTTAGTGCACAATCCCTGCACTAAGAGCAGCCTAACTGACTTGTGTGCGCAGGTTCCATCGCTGCTCATCGGTCCTAGGGTTTATTAAGGTCCCGTTGTTGTATTCCGAGACGTGCGTCATATCACCCCCTCCCCTCAAGGCACCCGCAGTCTGCGGACTGGGATCTGGACTGAAGACAGATTGCTACTGCACTTGTCCTCCTCGACTTCTTGGTCTTTCGACTTCTAGGACCCAGGGTAGGGCTCCTCCCCAACTAGAAGTTCAGTGTTTGGTCGAGAGGAAGATATACGACTCACTTAGGGAACGCAACGAAACGCTGCCCCCTTCCTACGAAACAGAAAATCAATGCCGCAAGTGCGACAACACCTTCGGCCCCGTCTGACCACTGTGTCACTAACGACGTGGGTATCACCGATAAAATAAAGAAACCATGTGGGTGTATCGACTCCTCCATCTCAGCAACAAAGTGGCCCTAACCTCTGCCCTACAAAGAGAGAAGCCGAATGTTTGTATGGCTCAGGTTTAATCAAATGCAGATCTTTTCGCAAAAATTATTGAAACCGTTGCCCTCTCAAAGAAATTAACTAAATCTCTCAAACTAATAAAGTTGAACTGCACTAGGTATCAAATATTCCTCTATATAACAAAAAGTTAAGTTTTATTTGCCAGTTAATAAGACTTACGACAAACAGCATTATCATTTTGGATTTGAAACAGATCATACTGAAGAAACGCAAAGGACAAAAACACGGACAATTTTTACCTTAATGAAATAAAAATGTATATTCATGCAAATTCGTAAGTCTACAAATTAAAATCGCTTTATGAAAAATAAAAATGAAGCAAGAAAATGATCTTTCCTCGGCATGTATCTCAAGTTCGTCGGGCAATTTTCTTCTCCACATTTGCTTTGCTTCGTTGGAAACGACAAAGTATTCACAGACAAAGTTTCTGCTTTTGTTAGAGTTGTTTCATGCAAATATATGAATATTTGTTCCAAGGAAACTTTGGACGGTGTATGCGAAATGAATCTCGTGTAATCTTTTCATTATTCATTTGCTGCTACCAATTGAAACAGTATACGGCACATATCAGACTAAATGTAACAAAATTCTAGGGGCACTAATATAACTTTTACCAATTAACAAGTGGTGGGAAATCTCCAATAAAAATGTTGCGTAGATTAACATTTGAACTTTATTGGTAAGCATCTTATTAGGATTAGCCAGAATATACGAAATTGACTGCGCTACAATGTGATCTGTCAAACACAAATTTCAAATCATTGACAAACGTGATAATCTTCGAACTCCCCAAAGTTCTAGAAGTTTGTAACGTTTGTTCTGAGACATCTGTATATGTTGCGCTAAGCAGAAAGTAATTTAATAAGCTAGTGGCGAGAGGAGCCTCTTTGAGATGTTATCGACACCCAAACTGTATATTGAAAGTATTGCCCTTCCCCTAAGAAAGTTCAAAGGGAGCACCAGCATTTAGAGGCCCACAGCACAAGCGCATTTTTGGCAGGCCCACAGCACAAGCGCATTTTTGGCAAATTTTGAGTTAGGAGTGTAAAGAAAAAATCTCAATTTTATTTCGTGAACAAACGGTATTCTAAGATCTCAAAACAGTTTCTGCGTTCTAGCAGTGGAAAGAAAATGCCTTCCGTAGTTTTTTCTAAAGTCACTCACCTTTGAAGTCTATTTTTTCAATTCTACATTTAGAGCACTTACAGTAGTGCTAAAAACACCGCATCACCCAATGAAAATAAGAGGTTTGATTAGGAAAATACAGAACACCTGTCAAAACTTTAAACAAATATTAATAGAAATTGGTAATCATATATTTTATGTGGATTATATGATTTTTCTGATCCCATTACCTTCATAAGTCGCTCGATATTGGTAAAACAAGTGGTGTATTTTCAGACTCAGCCGGATGACCGCGATCCTTAAGGCAGAAGTGCCGTAGGGATCTCAGAGTGAAGAATCGCAAGTTCGCATCGCGCCTCGGGCAAGGGCGTGTGTGTTGTCAACGTGCTTGTGTGTCCCATGTGGTTGATTTCAAGAAGAGCATCGCCAAATCTGTATAAAAATGGTGTAGGCGGATAATTAATAAAAATAAATGAGCCCGCACCCATTAGCGCCGACCCCGTGATAATGGGAAAAGGCAAAATACTAAGAGTAAATATTAATATTATTGTTAATAATGATAATAATAATGATGATAATAACAATAATGATAATAATGATAATGATAATAATGATAATGATAATAATGATAATAATGATAGTAATGATAATAATAATAATATTAATAATAATAATAATAATAATAATAATAATAATAATAATAATAATAATAATAATAATAATGATAATAATGATGATAATAATAATGATGATGATAATAATAATAATGATGATAATAACAATGATGATAATAATGATGATGATAATAATAATGATGATGATAATAATAATGTTACGAATATTGCGTCACCTGCCGAATTCGCTGCGCGTGAATTGCGTCATCTGCCGGCGCCCCTTCCCTCCCCCCCGAACTAGACTCCGGACTATCCGCGAGCCGCGGGAAACGCCGAGAATATGCCGAGTTCCTGGAGACAAGCGCCGGGCAGGTATAAATGCGCCGCTGCCGGCGGCCGCGAGTCAGTAGAAGACGTGAGTAGAAGTCAGTGGGTAGTAAGACGTCAGTGAGTAGCAGAGAAGCAGTCAGTCCGTCAGTGTGTCCGAAGTGGAAGCTGTGCTGTGAAATGTGCATTGCGGTGAAGAGTGGTGCAGCGGTTGAACAGCAGGCAGCAGTCTGAAGTCTGCAGTGGAAGCTGAGCTGTGAAGGGTGCATCGCGGTAAGCAGTGGTGCAGTGGGGAAACAGCAGTCAGCAGTTTGAAGTCTGCAGTGGAAGCTGAGCTGTGAAGTGGGCATCGCGGTAAACAGCAGTGCAGTGGACCCTGGTGTGCGCAAGGAAGGCCTGCGCAGGGGAATTGTGGTCTGTGCAGAGAATTGGGTCAAGTGCAGTGGACCGTGGACAGTGCATCGGACTGGCTGATACTGTAGAAGAAGAGAACGGTGTAAATAAAATAGTGTGTAAGAAGTGAACTGTGTAAATAAGCCATCAAGAGAACGGAATCGTGTGTAAAGAAAAATAATTAAGTGTAATATATTTGTAAATAGACCAAGTATATTTAGTGTATGATTGTTCCCGAATAAACCTTTAATTCACCACGGAGAAACGTTACAATAATAATAATAATAATAACGATGATGATAAAAATTTTCAGGATTATTTTACAGATTACAACTGTGAGAAATGCGTTTGTCTTGGGCCTCTGGAAGTGGCGTTGGCGCTGGGCACTCACCAGCTTCTCATTCTCGTCCTCCATCTCGAGGCGCGCGGCGATGCAGTTGCGCGTGTCCAGGAAGGCCTTGCGCTGCGCGCGCTCCATCAGGTTGTGCATGAAGGCGCCCGCCACGTTCACGCACAGGAAGACCAGCGCGTTCGCCGTCAGCTGGCGCACGCGCGCGCGCGCCAAGCGGTTAGACCTCGCGAAAGCGCGCACATGCGTCGTACCCGTCTCCTTTGTGCTCGACAGCCGGGACTACGGTACCAGCAGCATATGAGAGACTGTGAGATTTTCTCTAGTGACGTGCTGTGGTGCGCCATGTGACCTGCTGTAAAGCCATCTGCTCGCGAGGATTTGTTTACTTTCTCACAGCCAGGGTTCCGCGTTGCCGCTCATCCAACTCGAAGTCGCGGAGACGACAAGGTTGGAATGGGGCGAAGGTAATGAATATAATATCGAGATGTCATTGCTCGTCTGAAACAGTTAATGTGTTGATAATTTATTTATCTGCCGTAGTAGGTGATGCCATTGCGTAGTAATGCACAAAAGCGCATGGGACTTACAGTCTCATATATGCTGCCTGTGCTGCAGGTAGAGAGCGCGTTGCCGCGCTTTACTGCCCTTGCCACGTGTGTGCTGCATGATACATCACGCGCAATCTAAGCGAATATCAGATTTAAGGCATATACTTTTGATGTTTTTCAGTCCGATACCTGCAATGTCTGGATTCTTTTAATGCTGTGATATTTCGATATCGCGCATCATAAATGTGTGGTACGAATGTTCAACTGATACGACGCTCCATGCCATTCATTAATTCATTCGCAGTTGGTGACAAGAAAAATTACGTAAATAGGAAACCATTGTCAGCGTCATCACGTGGCTCTCAAATGACAAGCACAAAGAAGACTGGTACAACGTATACTGCTAGAGCTAAGGAGGCTGGATTGATGGAAAAAAGTAGTAACAAAAGATATGAAGTAAACAGTAGAAAAATGACCGCTATGAATCGAAACTTCAAATAAAGAAAAATACTACTTTACCGAGTACTAAACTGGAAAAAATTTGCATATCAAGATTAAAAGACTTGAATAATTAACAAATAAATAACTTAACTTGAGTATTTAACAAATACTGGTTTAATATTTTCTTAATTTAAAATTTAATGGTATAAAAACCATGAAAATTTAAAAGAACTAATGTTTATATTGTTCTATACCATATAAGTCGCCTGAACACTGTTATGCAAGGTTTATAAATTTTAATTTTATTAATTGACATAAGCATGAATCACTATTCTTGTAATAAGAGTTCCCGTATTCGTCTTTAGTAGTTCTCTCAACAGCGGGAAAAAATAATAAGTAATATGCCGTATTTTGTGACATCAATAAACATTTATTACATATTCGAAGAAAACCTCACAACGCGGGAACTCGTTAACTCCTTCAAGCACGAGGTATTTGGGAAAAACTTTTACAGTAGATGCCTCAGCTCACCCCTACAGCAATCAAGAAAATGTCTTATAGTTTTTGTATTTTCTCAGTTATTTAGCGGTGGTTTATAAATTATCCTACCATGAAACAACACATACGGACAAGAAATGACGATTCAAATCTTGTACCTCCGTGCAGCCGATGCATTACGCACAGTGGTACATATTTTGTACGACAGTGCTGGAAGGAGTTAATGCCCAACAAATATACTGACACGAAATGCGGAATGGACGAGATAAAACAGACCTTCGCTCCCCTCCGTAAAAATGAATTTTAGGGTAGGTTAAACATGGGTTTGGGTAAGATACATTTTAGCTAAAAAGAAAAAAGAAAAAAGCATGCCCAAACGAAGGCGCCTGCCTCACCTGCCGCCACGTGAGGTGCGGGAAGTCGCGCGCCAGCGCGCCGGCCGCCAGCAGATGCGCGGCGCCCAGCGACAGCCCGAAGGCCGCCGCCACCCATGCGCGCAACGGCATCAGCGCGTACGCCAGGAAGACGACGAACACCACGTGCCACGCCCCCTCCGCCGCCACGCGCCGGCTCTCGGCGCGCAGCGACCCGCCCGCGCCACCCGCGCCGCCCGCGCCCGCCGCCGCCGCGTCCACCGGCCCCAGCGGCAGCGCCACCGCGCAGAAGGTCGCGCAGAAGAACAGCACCGCGTAGCACACCCACAGCAGGTACGCGTCCTGCGCACCAACCACACCGCCGCCGCGGCACGTCACAAGCGCCCCGCTGACATCGTCTAGCACTTGGCTGCCTTAGGGCGCCCTCCCACGTCGCGACGGCAGCGCGCTTCCGTCAATGCTCTCGCCACGCGAAGCGGAGGAGGGGGTGCGCGCCACCGCTTGCAGAGCACAGCTTTAAATGGTAGCCTTCCCACTGCGCCACGGCCGCAGCGCAGAGCTGTTGTTTATACCTGCTGCAGTCCCATTGTCCGTCGTCGCCGGAGGGTCGGCGAAGAGCCCTGACGCTTGACGGGCGCGCGCTGCCGTGGCGGCGTGGAAAGGCGCCCTTAGGTGTAAGGGCGGCTTCCCACGGCGCGGCCGCGGCGCGCTTCCTTCAAGGAGCAGAGCCCTTCCGACGCAGCCACCGCCGCAGCCACGGCCGCACCACCGCCCGCCGTGGAAGGGGGTGGGGTCTGGAGGGGTAGGTTTCGCCGACACTCCTGCGACGACGAACACAGGGACCGGAGCAGGTAGAATGCAGCCGCAATGGGAAGGCTCCCATTTAAAGCTGTGTTCTGCTAGAGGTGGCGCGTGGCCCCTCCTCCGCTTCGCGTAGATGGAGTTCGGCGTCGGCTGCCGCAGCAGCCGCCACCCGTTGCTCGTGGGAAGGCCTCCCTTCAAACCAATGCTCTGCTACGCGCCGCGCTGCTGCGCGCCGCGCTGCGGCCGCGCCATGGGAAGGGGCCCTAAGAGCTTAGGTTTCCGCGGCCGGAGTCAGTAATTACTTGGCCGTCCCGGTGACGCCGCGTTCATGGCAAAGGTGCCGACGTTTCGGTCGACCTTCCTCAGGGCGTATTGCCCCGGGCAGCCAATTAATGACTGTCTTAGGTGTAGTATTTCGGCGACCTTATTTGACACTTCCCGACGCATTTCGCCCTGAGGAAGGTCGCAGTTGGCATGCGTGCCAAGGACGCGGCGCCTCCCAGACAGCCAAGTCGACGGTGCCGAAAATCGCCCCATTGCATTCGGCGGTCACTTTTTCCCTTACTCCCGCATCCCAGTAAATCTCCTTCCACTTTTGGCTACTTGAGAAGGCGTAGCCCGATTGCATCCCGGCCTGTGTTCCGCGAGTGGGAAGGAGGAAACGATGTAGGAAAGTTCCCATTCATGAGAAACATAAAAAGATGTGCTCACACCAAACGGCAGAAAACCTGTAACACACATGAACGTGGCAAAATCTTCGGCATTGTATGTAAAGTAACTAAAACAAACTACTTTTAATTCTGCACATTTTATAGAAGGCTATGCCCCTCTTGACCCATGATCTTTGAACAATCTACAAAATACGTACAAATCGATTTCATTCTGTTAATTAAAATATTCAATGCAGTGTCACTCCAAAACAACAAGCTATCCTTACTCTTTCTACCTGAGCAGTACAAAAGAAAAGTAAGACAAAATGAACAAAGTTAAAATGAGCATTTACTCTTTTTTCCGTTCCATGTTCTTCAAATATATCGACGCTCTGATACTAGGGCGAGCTGCTCTTTGTACTCAAGAAGAAAATCGAACGAGATGCAATCGCCCTTCGACTTTTCTTTTTTTTAGGGAGGGAGGTAAAAGGCTTAGGACAAGTTGACCGCGGGAAGCAATCGGGATACGCCCGCCCTGTCGGATTGGCAACAAGCAAAGACCGCCTCAGCGCTTAAATGTAGCAACGCATCTACTGAGAAAAGGAGATTCCCAGCAAGAGGATGTTGAACGAAGGAGCGCGATAGCGCAAATGTGTCACGTGTGTGGGTAACCACTTCTTTGCTCTCCAGTTTCGTTAAACGCTCTTTACTTCAATGCATATATTGTTTTATAATAAAAGAGAGATGGTTCAGCTATGAATGAGCAGATGTAGCTATTTCTGAAACGAAAAAGGGGAAACACATGCACCGGAGAGGAAAGCAAGTAATTATTTACTAGTCGAAAATCAAAAATTTATAAGAAAATTCATAAGTACAATTAAGTACATGGATCATTTTACGCGTTCAATGGCTGTTGTTTCCTTATACATTGTAGGTTAGACATGAACAGCGAGCGAAAAAGAATTATTGATTCGAGCGTCATTTTGTTATAACAAATTTACTACATTTTTATTTCATTTGGTTGATTCGTGTGATACTACTTAAGTAAATAGAACCGTCAGATACTCAATTTGACAACACGGTGTCGATTGGAAAGCGGTTTTCCCCGTGCAAAAATAGTGCAATTTTGATATCACAAAGTTCTGTTCTCTTGCACGTACCGAAAAGCACTGTTATGAAGTGAATTGAAAACTTCAAAAATTGGCGCATCAAAGCACCCAATCAAAGGAAATTCACGGAGGCCGGGTGTCTCGAAAAGCGTGAATCGATGGGCAGTTTCCACAGACGCCCGCTGAGCATCACAAGGCACTGGAGCCCAGCCAAAGAGTTTTAATCTTTCTGGAAACGTACAAGCCTCGATTCACAGGGGGAGAACCAACAGTAGTGAATCGCTTTCCTACAGGAGATTTAGTGCGCTTCATCTGCTATTGGATGTGACTAAAATTTTGTACAATTTCACAATAAAAAAGGTCTTTTTCTCATTCACTAAAGTAGATATTGCGATATAGATATTTTGTTTCTGAACATGTTTTAATAATTTTCCAAGTGTCAAGGGTATTTTACTTTTTTGTGAATTACCTAAATTGCATTTTCTTGGCCATATATACGAGAGCTATTCCACAGTCTTGGCAAGTACATTATATTGTAACGTATTAGCCAGCGTGCCTCGTGGCATCTATTTGGGGACGCTTGGCAGGATTAGTCTTGCCACAGGAAGTAGGGTTTTTCCGTAAAGGGAAGAACGCGGAGACGGGAGACACAAGGCTTTGGGTGTCTTCCGGCTTATAGACGCTTTTCACTGTTATAACAAGCGAGGGGGTGGCGTGACGTAGGAGGTCACGTGGGCCTCGCCTATATAACAGAGTGTACGGAGCCAGTAGGCAGGTTCTGGAGACGGTGGGAGAACCTCGTGCGTGTGCACAAAACTTGGCGCCAAGACGGTGCATATGCGAGCCAGGCTCGCGAGGCTGGAGTCATTAGTTGACGAAGCCTGCGGACTTTATGTCCTTGGGTGACTGCGGTCACGGGGGAGCGATGCTGTGTGCGTGCTCCGAGGTGAAGAGTGGTTGAGTGCCACGATTCACGCCGATTCTCAATCGGATAAGATCGCTCCTGCGATCGAGGCAAACCAGCCGTGGTGCGCCAGAACGGACTTTGTGTCCCAGCGTGACATCCGGTCACGGAAGCTAGGCTTTGTGCGCGCTTCAAAAGTAGGAGTGGCGAATGCCACAATCAAAACCATCTTCAATCGGGTTTTGGATCGCTCCCGCGATCAGGGGATAGTAGGTCTATCAGAGCTAGGGTGTAAGTAAATTATTAAGTGTATATATTTGTTTTGTTTTCTTTGTTAATAAATATATTGTTATACGAAAGCTCTGTGTCTGTGGTCGCTGTGAGTATCCATGACGTCACAATATCATGTAATTCAGAGGCAGGACTATAAATCCACTATTCTTGATTGAAAGTCATTGAAATATTCTGCCAAATAGTTCCAACCAAATTGGTTCGCAGAAAAAGGAGTCATCGTGAATTGAAAAATTTACAAAAAAATGTGTAAATAGAAACCATTGTTTAATTAGACACGAACGGAAAACACGATCATCACTCACAGCTAACTCTCTCATAATAATTCCCCAAGGTTCTTCACCGCAGCGTGGAGTTAAATGCCATCGCTTGTGAACCTTTGTGAACCCCTTCTCTTGCACTGCGCATCAGCAGTTGCAACACGAAGACCTCCACCCCACGTGCAACACTACGATAAGGGAACGCATTATCACCCAAGGTTTGTCGAACTTTCGTGTGACGCTGTGGAGCATTTCTAATACTTTGAATAGCAATTGTCGCACGTGTTCCACTTAACATTTACCTGCCTTGCAAAACAGCATCTTACCTACTAAGTTTTATGCGTGATGTCAACTACCGTCAATGCACTACACACATGAAATGGCGGAGGATTCTCGTACAGTATGATACAGAATTTCCAACATATATACTGAATTTACATTTCTTTTATTCTGAAAGTTGTAATATACACTTGCCATGACATATGAACTGACCTTCACACGTAGGCTCTATTTTTGGGTGAGTATTGCGACCCAAATATTACATTTATTTACTGTTCTGCAAATGTAGTAATGCGCGAAACCAAAGAAAATACAAACCGGTTGTTCACATTTACCTCGTTACGGAACGTAAGTAGGTTACTGATCGCCGTTTACCAAACCCGGAGACCGTAGCAATTCCGGTTTATCGATAATTTCTCACCAACGAAATATCCTAACACAGTAGGTAATTTACTCCGTGCACGGCAGTCATTAAATTGCCACTGCGAACAAGCAAATCAATAACGTACGGGGACAATGCAACTGAGAACAAACTTCGAGTCCTAAACAGCCGAAGGCGGATACCAGTAATTCTGTGAAGGGTAGGATTTATTGGATTCCGGTGCATGGGCCTGGAGACATACGCTTTAATTAATTGTGATATACGGAACATAAAACCTAGAGTGTACTGAAAGTTAAATTAGGAGAAAAGAACTGAGCAATGAACATGAAGTAATCCATGTGTTTTATCATCTCTATTTTCCCCCAAACCCTAGAAAAAAACTGTATGAGGTGTTCAGGGGAGAAGCATATTTTTTTATTATTTGTTTAAACTTCGGAATTCCTATCCTCAGATTGTTTACTATTCTAAGCTGAATTGTAAATAAAACAGAAACACGAAGAGGAACGCACATTTTTGGCAAAATTAGCAGAAGGCAAATATTCGATTTCGAGTAATAGAAGCTATCGGTTATGGTTGTTATTCCTTATCGAGTCCGCCATGAACTGAGTATTACCGCCAGAACGCGGAGAAAGATTTGATCGAACTGTTGATGAACTGTCCATGAACATCGCCAAGTACACGAACCCCCTCAATGCTTCAACGATTGCCGAGTGGGCCATGTGCAGCAGCAATAGCTGATTTGCGCTGTCTGCATAAGCATTTGGAGCACAGAGTATTTGTAATCCGAAACGCATTTGGAATGTGGAAGATAATGGAATTCTCTGCTTCAACCTTCTTTCAGCCTGTATCTACACTGTGACTGCTGTGTGTTGAATGTGTGCAGATGTAGATAAACAGTGGATGTTGATTTTTTTAATATCACCTTACCTTCACTGTAAACTTAACACGCAGGTTTGGTTCGAAAATGCGTAAATCCGAAAAGGAATAAAGACATTATGCTTTGGAATAACGCTTTCGTGAAAATTAATGGTGTAATCATAGGAATATACTGTGTTACTTTTCAATCAGCTTTCCGTCACTTTTGTGTAAAAAGAAGTATTTAAGTGGAGCCAACGTGCACGAATAAGCGGACGTACCCGCCCAAACGCGGGATGAGGATTAGCATATGCAAATGTACGAGTCGTGAACAGAACAAAAGTGAGAGAGAGTGTGAGAGAGAGAGTGTGAGAGAGAGAGTGTGAGAGAGAGAGAGGGAAAGAGATTGTGAGAGAGGGAGGGAAAGAGATTGTGAGAGAGGGAGGGAAAGAGTGTTAGGAGGGAGGGAAAGAGGTGTGAGGAGGAGGGAAAGAGTGTGGGAGGAGGAGATGTGGAGGGAGCAGAAGGTGTGTGAGGGAGGGAGGAAAGAGAGCGTGAGGGGAGAAAAGTGGGAGGGAGGGAAAGTGGGAGGGAGGAAAGACCGGCGGAGGGGAAGAATGAGGGAGGAGGGAAAGAAAGCGTGAGGGAGGGAGGGAAAGAAAGCGTGAGGGGAGGAGGAAAAAAGCGTAGGAGGGACAAAGAAAGCGTGAGGAGGGAGGGAAAGAGAAGCGTGAGGGGGGAGAGAGAGGAGGAGAGATGAGAGCGTGAGGAGGGAGAGAAGAGCGTGAGAGGGAGGGAGAGAGAGCGTAAGGAGGAGAGGTGAGGGAGGGACGGAGAGAGCGTGAGGAGGGAGGAGAGAGAGCGTGAGGGAGGGAGGAGAGAGAGGTGAGGGAGGGCAGGGAGAAGAGCGTGAGAGGAGGGAGGTGAGAGCGTTGAGGGAGGAGGAGAGAGAGCGTGAGGGAGGGAGGGAGAGGAGCGTGAGGGAGAGGAGAGAGTGAGGAGTGAGGGAGAAGCGGGGTGGGAGAGAGAGCGTGAAGGGAGGGGAGGGAAGAGAGAGCGGTGAGAGGGGAGCGTGAGGGAGGAGGAGAGAGAGCGTGAGGGAGGAGGAGAGAGAGAGTGAGTGGAGGGAGGAGAGAGGGAAGGTGGAGGGAGGAGGAGAGCTGGAGGGCGTGAGAGGGAGGCGTGGAGAGAGAGCGGAGGGGGAAAAGCTGTGAGGAGGGGGAGAGGACTGAGGAGGGAGGAGGACCGTTGAGGAGGGAGAGTAGGTGGGGTAGCGTGAAAGAGAGCGTGGAGAAGGTGAAGAGAAGGGGGGAAGGAGAGAGAGGTGATGGGAGGGAGAGAAAGCGCGTGAGGGGATGGGAGAGAAAGCGAGGAGAGGAGGAAAGAAGCGATGAGGAGGAGAGAAAGCGTGAGGGAGGGAAGAAAGCGTTGAGAGAGGGAGAGAAGCGTGAGGAGGGAAGAAAAGCGTGAGGTGGAAGAGAGGACGGGAGGGAGAGAGAGGAGGGGGAAGAGGGAGGGAGAAGAGAAGCGTGAGGAGGGAGAGCAGAGAAGTGAGGGAGAGAGAGACGAGTTGGAGGGAGGGAGAAAAAAGAGAGGGGAGGGAGGGAGAGAGGAGCGTGAGGGAGGGAGAAGAGCTAGGGAGAGAGAGAGCTGAGGAGGGAGAGAGAGAGCGTGAGAGGAGAGAGATAGAGGTGAGGGGAAGGAGAAAGCGTGAGGGAGGAGAGACGAGAGCGTGAGGAGGAGAGAGCAGAGCGCTGAGGAGGAGAGAGAGAAGCGTGAGGAGGAGAGAGAGACGTTAGGAGGGGAGAGAGCGTGAGGGGGAGAGAGAGAGCGTAGGGAGGGAGAGAGGAGCTGAGGAGGGAGAGAGAGAGGTGAGGGAGGCGAAGAGAGAGCGTGAGGAGGGAGACAGAGAGAGCGTGAGGGAGGGAGAGAGAGAGCGTGAGGATGGGAGAGAGAGACTGAGGAGGAGAGAGAGAGCGTGAGGGAGGAGAGAGAGAGGTGAGGAGGAGAGAGAGAGCGTGAGGAGGGAGAGAGAGAGCGTGAGGGAGGAGAGAGAGAGCTGAGGGAGGGGAGAGAGAGCGTGAGGGAGGGAGGAGAGAGCGTGAGGAGGGAGAGAGAGACGTAGGAGGGAGAGAGAGAGCGGAGGAGGGAGAGAAGAGCTGAGGAGGAGAGAGAGAGCGTGAGGGAGGGAGAGAGAGAGCGTGAGGCAGGGAGAAGAGAGAGCGGTGAGAGGCGAGAAAGAAGCGTGAGGAGGAGAGAGAGCGTGAGGAGGGAGAGAGAGAGCGTGAGGAGGGAAGAGAGAGCGTGAGGAGGGATAGAGAGAGCGTGAGAGGGAGAAGAAGAGCGTGAGGGAGGAGAGAGAGAGTGAGGGATGACAGAGAGAGCGTGAGGAGGAAGAGAGAGCGTGAGGAGGAGAGAGAGAGCGTGAGGGAGGGAAGAGAGAGGTGAGGGAGGAGAGAGAGAGCGTGAGGGAGGGAGGAGAGCTGAGGAGCGAGAGTAGAGAGCTGGGAGAGAGTGTGAGGGAGGAGAGGAGAGCGTGAGGGAGGGAGAGAGAGAGCGTGAGAGGAGGGAGAGCGGAGGAGGAGAAGAGCGTGATGGGGGGGGTGAGGAGGGAGAAGAAGAGCGTGGGAGGAGTAGAGAGAGCTGAGGAGGGAGAGAGAGAGCGTGAGGGAGGGAGAGAGAGAGCGTGAGGAGGGAGGAGAGAGCGTGAGGGAGAGAGAGTAGAGCGTGAGGAGGAGAGAAGAGAGAGCGTGAGGGAGGGAGAGAGAGAGCAGTGGGGAGGGAGAGTTGAAGGAGCTGAGGGAGGAGAGAGAGAGCGTGAGGGAGGGAGAGAGAGAGGTGAGGGGGGAGAGAGAGAGCGTGAGGGAGGAGAGAGAGAGCGTGAGGGAGGGAGAGAGAGAGCGTAGGGAGGGAGAGAGAGAGCGTGAGAGGAGAGGAGGAGACGTAGGAGAGCAGTAGGGAGAGAGAGTGAGGGAAGAGAGAGTAGGGAGGAGAGAGTTGAGGAGGAGAGAGTAGGAGGGAGGGAAAGAGAGGTGAGAGAGGGAGGTGAGGGAGGAGAGTGTGAGGGAGGGAGGAGGAGGTGAGGAGGAGAGAGAGAGGAGGGTGGAGAGGATGGAGGAGAGAAGAGTGGAGAGGGAGGGATGGAGGAGAGGAGACAGAGTGTGAGGGAGGAGAGAGAGTGTGAGGCGGAGGGAAGGAGAGTGTGGTGTGAGTGTGAGAGCGAGTGGAAGAGAGTGTGTGTGTGAGAGCGAGTGTGAGAGAGAGTGTGTGTAAGTGTGAGAGAGAGTGTGAGATCGAGAGAGAGCAAAAGAGAGCGAATGTGGAACGAGTAGGGAAGGGGACAAGTATGCGCGCGAGAGGAAAGACGCGCGCGGCGGCGTGCGCACCTGCATGAGGCGCGTGTTGAGGAAGGCGAGCAGCAGGGCGAACAGCACGCAGTGCACGCAGTGGTACACGTTCTGCGGCGTGGGCGCGTGCGCGTGCGCCAGGCTCAGGTTGGCCAGCACGCCCGTCAGCAGCACGAACAGCCCCACGGCGCTCGCCACGCTGCCGTGCTGCAGCTTGAAGATGTAGCGCTGGTACAGGGCCTCCAGCTCGTCGTTCTCGAAGCGGTGCCGGTTGAGAAGGCGGCCGAGCGCCAGACGGCGCTGCGACGCCATCGCCTTCACCGAGTGGTCCATGGCGACGCCCGCGCCCGCCCCCGCGCCCACGCCCCCCAACGCCACCGCCCCGCCCAAGAGCGGACGCGCCGCTACGACCCCGCTCGCCGACGCATCTGCAACACACACAGCACCAGCACGTCAGCAACGCCAGCACACACCACGTGCTACAACACGTACAGATTCATTGATTAGTTTATTAGTAACTCCGGTCGCTTCAACAAAGGTCAGTAGTCCCAGAAGCATAGTTCATGTTTTATGGCTGGCTGTGGCGGTGATCTTACGCTGAATGGCGAAGTCCAGCACCGACGTACGTCGGCTTGCAGGTAGTCGCCTAACCATGTATCTCCCACCAGCGACTCACCGCTTCAGCCCAGCAAGCTCTAAGCGCCGGGCGAGTCTCTTAAATAGCTATACTAGAGTAGTGCATGTGAGAGCGTAGGCTTCCGCGGCCGGAGTCAGTATTTACAAGGCTGTATTACAAGTACGTATTGCAATACGCCCTGAGGAAGGTCGCAGAATGGCGACCGAAACGTCGGCATCTTGGCCATGGACGCGGCGTCACCCGGACAGCCTAGTAAATAGAGTAGTGCATGTTGGTGTGTGTGAAAGCAAAGTGTGGGGAAAGGGCAAGAGAGGAAGGGAACCTAAAATTTACCTATGCGCGTGTACATTCTCACATCTTTTGGTAAAAGGAGAAGTATTTTCCCCAATCATATTTTAGACATCACACACATTGCGATCAATAGACGATGACAGTACGAAAACAAATTTTGAACTGTCACTATAGGCAAAATAGATTTTAGGAGACCAATAATAAGATGGAACAACCTACCCTGAGAACGGAACAGGTCGCTAGGTGTAATCCTCGTATTTCAAGTAGCATTCATTGCTCTGGAGAACTTCTCTGTAAATCGGTATATATTTAAGATAAAACTGAATGATTAAACCAAGACGAAACTGAAGAGCACACATAAATACTCTGAAACCAAACTACCGAAAATAAAACATCAGTAAGAATGTGGTATTAAAAGTGATAATATCGCAAAGCACAATTGTAGAGCATACATGAAACCCAGGCTAAGTGCCAAAATGTGAAAATTTGCTTTTTGTGCTGAAACGGATGGCGCAATGCAGTGTAAAATGGGTTACCTGAAATTCTCATTCATAGGGGTTCAAATTGTCGCCACTAGATTGCGCATCACTCGAGTCCGGCAAGTTTTTGAAACAGGTTTTTCTTAATTATCTCTAAATTTCATTTTCGGCACTTATTACGGTTTTCAATTACTGTCTACAGTTATAATGGAGAACATGATGCTGTTCACCAAAATTGTCCGAGAAGGATTAATATTTTTAATGAATAAGTAAATTACTGAATAGTAGTATTAATGAATAGTAGAGATTGTTATTAAATCTGCCAAAAAATGTTTATAACGAATGAAAGGAGAATGCGCGCGTAACAAAGAAATGAATATCTGGTGCAATTCCATGTCTTCTCGCCTGGCCAAGAGTCTCGCTTCTATTTAATGCATCGTCATTTTACCTAGACTGGCCACATGGATCGAGAATAAACTTCTCTAACATTAACAAAAAAGAGAGAACTAGTTGCTTCAACCGCTCACAATCAACAAAAATTAAAACTGAAGTATCTGCTTCTTTAAGAAGTAAAATTTATTTTTTGTTTGTTTTAAAAGGATCGGAGTGTGTTTTTAGAAGGGTTTGGGAAAAAGTCAAACATTTGAAAATAAATGAGAGATGCTTTCTACAATTACGTGTAGGCCAGGGTTATCATATTTATATTCAATTCTGTTTTCATTTGGATTAATATAATGTAATTTACTTCGAAATTAACGACAATTGTTAAGCGTGATCTTATCTGAAACGCACAACGGTAACATTAATGGACGTAAATTTAACGTAGATTAAAAGAGAAAACTTTGAAATATGAAGCATTTAGCGGCAAACCATTCACGCAATTTTAAAATGAGAAACATTTTTTTCCAAAATTCCTTGACTCAAAGTATCTGCATCGAAGATTACTTTTCCACCGTATTGGGAATAATTCGACTTCGTATTCACAATATAATTGACATTTTCTGTGGAAGCAAATAGATATTCATTTATGAGAGATTCGGACATTAGAAATTCATGTACTGATTCATATCCTAGACACACTTTAAGATAATTTCATGGATCGATAAGAACACGTCCTCCGAATAATCATATTGACAATATTTAAAAGAACTGGTAACAACAGACCAACTCAGAACCAACCATTCATACACGGGATTTCGAATCATTGGAATGTTTAAGAGCAATGGGACTGTTGAATTGTTTCAAGCGTGTGTGTGTGTCTATATATCCTAATGTCAACAATTGTGCTTGTTCCGAGCATTAGATAAAATGACATTACTGAATTTGTTTAAACTACCAAACCTAAAAGGAAATACCTCCTCGAAAAAAGAAAGAAAAAGGAAATTGCTGCACGCCAAAGTTCCCTGCGATCTGTTGCTAACTTGTACTTTATGGACTATATGTTGTTGCACATTATACTAAGCTAGTCAGTTAAGGCAATGTTTTCTTCTTCACAGTCGACCGACGTTTTCAATAAATTATTACTTTACATTGAAAATACCTTGAAATGTATAAATGTTCATAATTTACGAACTAAAAACGTTGCTACGAAAGATAAGGAAAAACCGTTCGTTGAACGAGTGAATTTATCTCTACTGCAATTTATTCATGTTTATTTCGTAAAAATTGATAACGGCTGAATGAAAATTGCAATCACATCGTTGTCAAACACGATTGTGTTGAGAGTGTGTGTGTGTTTACTAAGTTTGGATGTGAACTATGTACTCATACTAACTACATCAATGGGTGAATGATACCGTTAAAATTGAATTGAAATAGCAATGAAGTTTTGTTATTTGCCATGACTGCTTCGCGAATCTAGGCCGGTTGCAGTGATGAAATCAACCAAATGAAAACCCTCATTTGTATACTGTTTTATAGAAGATTTAGTAAAGTGCATTTTAATTTGTTGGAAGTTAAACCAATACGAGGGATTTTCATTATTTTGCAATGTATCACTAGGAAATTGCGTTCACGAAGTAATACATTGATAACAATTCACTTTTTAAATAGGCTACTTTGTACGTAGGAATAATTGGAGGAGAACCACATTAGACCACTTACACATTCATCTTAGAGAAAGGGAATGAGAATGCTCTGAAAAAATATCCCCGTACAAGAGGATTCCGTGTGACAAAGACCTTCAAACACCCAAATATACAATTAATGTTTAAAATTATAATCACAAAGTGAATTTTATGGATAACATTCTGCGCAACTCTATGTAAATACACCACATTTTTAAGATTTCAAGATTAAAAAGGAGAAGAAACATGTTTCCTCGAAACACACCATTTCCCATGCATTTGAAAGTACTCTTAGGCCGAACTAACAGGTTTCCCCGACTGAATTCAGAGTACTTAAAAGATGAAAATACTAAAGGATCTTTGAAAAATACCCTTTCGAAGGTTCAATTTTCAACTTAGATTTAAAATCGCTCTTTGAGGTTTTATCTATTAACATACCTAGAAATGTTATGAGTGTTATTACTGCCGATGCCAAAAGTTAAAAATCGAGGTGGACCGAGGAGCCGAGATTTTTAATTTGGACGAGACAGTAATAACACTAACATTTCATGTTCAACGTTTTATCGGTCACTATAAAACCTCATTTTTTTTGAGAAAATTTACATCACAGCGATATGAAACACATTAATTCTGTTGTTGCAGCACGAAAATCGATGTTGTTAAGTATTGCTTACGACATATCTATTTCAACAATACACTTGTATATCGTGGCTCGAGGATGATGGACGCTGAAAACTTGCGTGTACCTCAAGAATTTACCAAATATTAATTTTACAAATCGCACAATTAATAAAATTATAATTAATAATGAACATTACTAAAATAATGCGTTTGTTTGATTACTATTTGTCTATATAGTCGTAATAATGTTGACTTGCGATGAATGGGGTTGTTTTTTTTTGGTTACTAATGTTAAAACTCGTTGCTAAGGATTTTAAATTTCTTAACCTGCAGGTAGGTACAAGAGCACTTAACAAAGTTATAGGGTTGCATATTAACAAGTGTTAAAGAAACACGTGTCCGATAAACGGCTTTAAGTATTAAAATATACATGTAGCTATCTCGCGAAACACACATTCGACACCTTATCCGACGCAATAAGACGAATTTTTAGGAAGCAAATGATAATTTTTAATACTGATCGTTATATTTTGCAGCCCTAAATAGGACACTTTTCTGACGAAACAGGATGTTCGAAGTAGAAACGTTACTCAGTTCATTTGCAGTCGGCACCGATCGATGACAGGCGCTCAGCATGCCCGCAGATCAGAAGTGTATTGCTGGTTGCGTTCACGCAGGCTGAAGTCCACGCGAATTAGCCGCAAAAGTAGGGATCACGACGCTCTGCTGACTTGCCTCCAGAGACGCCGGAAACGCCTAAGGCCCATTCACAATGCAAACACAAACATAAACATAAGCATGGCGTTAACATAAAAGTTAAGACTATGTCCACAGGCGGACTCATTCACAATGCGTTCGCGTAAGCACGTAAGACATTCACTTAAAAGCTTCAAGCATCTGTGCTTTTGCTTAAGTAAGATATAAGAAATGAACCAATCACAGAATGATAACACCAAATCGATAATCGATATAGGATCGAAGTAGATAGACGAAATAACGCCATATGGGCTATGGGTATCGACACAGTCGATACCACAAAATCGATTCTCATATCCAAACAATAGTAAACTAGAAAGTCTGACAGCCAATAGAAAATATTTTTTTGCTTATGTTAGACATTGTGAAAACTTAAGCCTATCACTTATGTTAATGTTTACGTCTATGCGTTATGCTTATGTTTACGTTTGTATTGTGAATGGGACTTTATTGCTATGCGAGTTCACGATATTGAAGCGAAACTTTTCCCTACATATTATATCTCCTTTGTTTACTACAACAGAATCTTCTTGAGCTTATTATTTAATCGGGGCTAGTGGAAAAGGTTCACTATATCA